CCTCCCACCCAGGAGGAGGAAGAAGGTGGGGGTGGGGTGTTGCTGCTGCTTGTGTGTGTGTGTGTAGGGGGGTGCTGCTACAACTGGTTTGTGTCTCTGTGTGTGAGAATATTGCACCTGCTGGGCCTGAAGATCCCACTCCAGCGCAAGGGGCTGTGGAAAGGGGGAGACACACAAAGCAGCCTGAGCATCTCGACCCTTAGAAAGCACTTGGTAGGTATGAGCCCAGTTATTTGCTCCCAGTAATGGTTGCAATAATTTGGTGAGAAGCAGTTCCATGGTGGGTGTGTTCCTCCCTTACTCTACTGCAAGTTTTAAGGTCAATAGCTTGTTCCCTATTCAGTCTCATTTTTCAGGCCTAAATGTGGGGAGGTGTTTTACTTCTGGAGGCTTCTCAGTTAAATCTAGTCTCTGAGAAGTACTGCTCTGTGCAGAAGGATTTCAGCTTACCTATGCAAAGCAAAGTCTGAAGGCCAGAATGAATCCTGCTCATTAACTGATAAATACATAAATTATTTTCAAGTTTAGGTAGTTTGGCAATAAGAAGTTGTGTTGTAGGGAAGCATTTGTGCTTGGAATTGGAAGCTTCCATCAGCTGTCAAATCCAACTGGATTTGTAGCTGGTTTTTGGTGTTACTGTTGGTTTTTTTTCTCTCCTGGGTTTTAACATCTCAGGATTAAGAGCACAACAGACTTGGCTGCTCTGTATGTATGCTGTTATGAAGGTATTTCTCAGCAAGAAAGTTGGTTCATGTTATAGCACTCAGACTATGTAACCTTATTTTCAGTCTCATCTTTTTATGTTAAAACTTTTCATTTTCATCATGATATTTAATAAAACCAAGTGTTTTCTGAGTTGGGAAAAGGAAAAAAAGCATTTTTGCAGTTAAATTCTAATTAGATGCATTTTTACGTGCACTTAGGTAATTTAAAAAAATACAAAAATATGTGTTAAAAATTGAGCACATGTGTAGTAGCCCTGAATGAGAGCTACATGTGCTGACTTTGGAAGAAGTTTGGTTTGGAAATGACAATATTGTAAACAATTTAAAATCATGTTCAGAGCATGATTTATTCATTTTAACTGAGTTAACCATTCATCAAACTGTAATAATCCAGCTCTTTCAGATGCAGATATTTATTTGTGGAATAATTCTTGCCAGTGACTGTTGTTAGTTGGTTAGCTTGGTTCTGGAGGTCTTTCATAATTTTCATGCATGTTTACATGGTGCTTCTATAAAGAGGTTGGACCTGTCACATTAGGGAACTCTAATGAAAGCTTTTTTTTCAATCCTTTGCTTTTCTAGTGGATTTTAAAGTAAGAAGTCTTAACAAACTCAAGTAATTATGTAACAGACAGACATGTGAACTGAGTATATTTAAAAAGGCAGGATTTCGCTGGTTTAATGTTTTATTTTTGTTTTTAAGAAGCACAACTATGTCCATCTGAATAGGTGTTTCCTGGTTAAGTCTAGCCAGGGCTGGCCAGGCCTGGTTAATACTTGATTGGCAACTTTCAAGGAAGTCTGTGGTGCAGGAGATTATTGCTTGTAAATTTCGGATATTATGTTTTTTTTTCCTATACTGCTGCTCCAGTAAAAGCATAAACAAATAGATGTTATTTTTTTATATCTAGTCTACTTTTTCTGTGATTTTTTTTTTTAGCTACATAGATAGGGTTCTAAGAAAATTACTATGCATGTATAATTTATTTTATATAGCAAAAATGCCTATCTGTTGTCTATTAGGTTGTGTACAAATGCAATATAGGTTTGATTCAGCAATGTTTATGGCCGCTGAGGAGCACTTACTCAAGTGAGTAAATTCCATGGATTTAATATGAAATAAGGATGTCAGAACGGTGCCCCAGTGAATCAGTGACATAAATACTTGGATACATGCATAGTTTTCTTATATAATTACAGTATAACTATACATCACTGTACACTTCCAATAAAGGCCAGAGTAAACAGGTGAGCTTTGCATTGTGTTTTAAAGGCTCAATAATGTAGCAAAAATGCATATTTTGATATTGATTATAAGTATGATACATAATGATGTGATAGAACTTGCTTATAAGTTCTATAGCAGGGGTGTCCAGAACTTGCTTATAAGTTCTATAGCTTCTATTTCTTTCTCTCTCTCTCTTAGGATTAGATAATGTTCACTGCAAGGCCTTGCTCACTGTTAGTTTTGCAAATTAAGTTGTACCCCTAGTAACTGTTGATCTTGTCTGAAACTCTATACAGTTGTTTGGTGTGAATGGAGAGTGTGTGTGAGTGAAAGCCATCACAGATGCCCAGGTGATCAAGAAGAAGTGGAAACTTTGAAACATCCATTGTG